TTTCGAAAAGTAGTGAACTACAACAACAAAAATTATTTTATATTATTTTAATTAATCACATATTTGGGTGATTATACATTTTACGATAGATTATGATAAATATTATATATAATATTTATATTAAGTTATACGTAAATGATTTTTTGAGACTACAAGTACCAAAGGTTGATCTCGTCCCCTGCCAAATTATAAGCTCAGAGTCAATGCTCCTTAACCAACGGACCCTAAGCCGTACTTGACATTTATGTTCGCACATTTTTATGGAGTTTTGTTAATTTGCTGTGAAAATTCATTCACTTGCTGTGTTATATTAATACGAAATCATAAACTAGCTGTAGAATAATTGTTTCAATTGTTAAATTTCATTACTATTCTTTTATAGAGGCATACTTTATTTTATACTCTTAAAGTATTGTTTCTTGTGCATTGAACCTAATCTTGGAATGTAATACGAAGAAAGCCATGCTAATGTTACTCCATAATTCGTTCAAGCGACACTATTTTTTAGTCTCGTGACATCTGTATGGTCAGCTAAAAATTCAATTAATTAAAATAATATAAAAAAAATCATTGTTGCTGTAATTCACTACTTTTCTAAACTTTTATAACCGGTTAATGCAATATTCATCATCATCAGTCACTATATAGACCATGTAGGACTTAAACCTGTTCAACAATTTCCTTCCATTCTTCTCTGATTTTTGCTTTTGTTTTCCAAATTTTTTTATGTTATTCATTTCTTTTTTTTATTTTTATGTTCATTTCTTTTAAATCCTGCTGCACACTGTCTTTCCATCGTTTTCTTGGTCGCCCTCTTCTTTTGCTGCTTCCTACTTCGTTCTCATAAATCTTAAGTGGTACTCTTATATCCGGTATTCTTATCACATGTCCAACCTATCTTAATCGTTGCTTTTTCATAAATTTGTTGATTGTATCATCTTCAGCTAGATGTTCTAACTCGTGATTACGGGGTCAAAAATTTTTCTGAATATTTTCCTTTTCAACACTAATGCAATATTAAACATAAAAAATTCTGCCAAAAAATATATAGTGTTTTCAAACAATGAAATGTAATATTAAATACATTATGTATTGTTGTATGTAACAATGTACAAACTTAATAAAAAATTATTAATCCAAATAATAAATAAATTTGCAGTGCATACCATAAAATAGGCCATGCATTGTTAATTAAGTTCACAATGCCATATAAGCAAAAATATTGCCATTACTACGTCAATACTCTAATTTCACTCAAATAAACTATTATTGTTTTATAAACAAAAGTTAAATTTACAACATGTGTAGTACATAAATATGAAATGTGTACAAAAATAGCAAAAACTAAGTAGAAAGTCAAACAAGCATCCTGGAAATGTGCAGTAGATATATGCAGTATGGAATATCATGGAAAGGATAAAAAATGGCACTGTACTTGAAATAAACAAAACAACTGCACTTGACACCATGATAAACTGTTTACAAGTGAACTACAATCGAAAACAAAAAGGACATTTTTAAGTTCATTGTATGAACTTCATACACTTGAAATAAAGTACAAAAGGACTTGGAAAAATGGCCAGAACAAAGGATAGTGAGCTTGTTTTCACATATGCAATTGCTGCAAAAAATATAAAAATTAATTTATGTAATTTGATATAAATTTTCGTTATTATTTATACCGTTGCTTACATATGTAAAAATATATAATTTAATGATATTTACAAATTGAACACACACCCAAAGAAAAAATTATTTAATTACAATTTATTGTGTTAAAAAATTATACTTATTACACGCAATCCTTTAACAAATTGCAAAATAAATCATTGTAAATATTATTTAATACAATCCCAAGGATTTAACATTTATGGCAATAAAAAGCTTGAATTATTTATAAATATATAATTTTTAAAATACTATTTCCTAATTTTGCTGGTAAATTTAATTAGTGGATTTAGGTGTGTGGTAATTGGATCAGATTATTTTTATATAATTCAAACGCTAATTTAATTAAAACATAAATATCATATATATATTAAAAGCAAAATATATTAAAAATAATTGGATATCAAATGCTAAATTGTGTGTTTGATATATATATATGATATGTGTAATATATATAATTAACTAATTAACTAATTTAAAGTATTAAAATGAAGATCATATAAATACTATAGAAAAGCATAGCCTATGCCAAGATTTTTTTAAGTAATTGTTATAGCTGAAGTAATTTTACTTCTCTTGGAAAGCTTCTTTACGTACGCTTGAATGCGGGCAGAAGTTGTGCGCCACGCTTAAAAATATTACAAAATTCCCGATGTGAAATGTATCTTTTAAGGGACACCTTATATTCCATTAGGTGTCACACTATAATATTTTGGAGTATAACGGAAAGTAAATGGTGGGGTCAATTTTGATATTTGAGCAGTGGGGAACCCAGGGATCTAAATGCGTGTCGTGGTGTTTATGATTGGCAGCTAAAAAAACACAGGGAGAGTGTTAGTTACAGTTGTTATGTTCGAACTAATGGGCAGTAATGTATTCGATTATTAGTGTTAAAATACATATAGGTGGAAATGTAAGATTTGCTTTGCTTGCTAGGGATTATCACCGCAACTTATAATTTACAGAATACTTAGATTTAAACAACAACTACGGATATCGTTTGCCATTATGATAGTTTAATTTAATACTTGCTTACTTGTTTTCATCTTTATTCGAAAGCTATTGAGATTTCTTCATTATATATAATGGTGTTTCATCGAGACCAGCAGGAGTGATAAAAATTATTGATAGACTTAAATGAGAAACCATTTGGAATTGCACTTCAATAACTGAAACACAACAACAGATGTAAGTGATTTAGAAATAGAATTGTTTGGAGTAAATATGTTGTGCCTCTAAACTGTAACAAGAACGACTAATACTGTATAAATGTGAGTTCTGATAATTTAAGTAAAAATTATTGCATATAAAATTAATTTGGTGAAGACGTAGAAACCTTTATTGACCGTGTATTTAGTTTCTTGGGAAATAAAATTAGTTTTCCATATTAATTTACTTTCTTACAAAATTAACTCCACTTCAAGTTGAGAACACCATTAGATGCTACCATTTCAATGAAATTGTTTACTGGAAAGTTATTCATGAAACAATTCATAATTACAAAGTCCAACTAAAAACTACAAAAAACCTAATATTATTACTTATAGCTTTAAAGTTCAAATCAAGTTATCATATATAATGTTCAAAAAGTGTAATGAACATTTAAAAAAATATTTTGTCATATAGTTGTTATTTTTTGTTAAGTACATTACAAAACTCAACTGATTAAAAATTTTTTGTACTAAATTTATTTTATTTGAGATATTAAAATATAAAGAGACTTGGGATGAGTAATAGTTACTTGAATTTTGTTGAGGTATTTTATGCCTCCAACAATAACCTACCTCCAGTAGAGGTTGCGAAAGCAGCTCGCGCGCACTGGGACACTTTACCATCTAAAGAAAAACATAAGTACCATGTAGAGAGCAATGAGACCGCTGAGAACCTCCAAGATGACTTGGCTATGGAATGTGGAACATGTGGTAAGAAAAAGAAGAACCCTTGTGCGAAAAAAAAGAAGAAAACTTGTCCCAAGAAGAAGCGTAATCCCTGTGCTAAGAAGAAAAAACCATCGTGTAAGAAAAAGCCTAATCCGTGCAAGAAGAAGAAAAAGCGTCGTCAAATTTGTTGCTAATAAGTAACAAATTTTCAATGCAGACTGGAGTAAAAATGTGAGTATAAATTTAAATAAATTTTTGACAACTAATTTTAAAAAATTTTATATACATAGAATTAGGTGGAAATTTTCAACTCTTGTTTCCAGTCTGTTAAGTCCACCGGACAAAAAACAGGTCAAAAAACTGTAAGTTTTGTTACATTTTTTAATTATATTAATTTAAAATACACATTTTTTGCGGAATAATATAATGCTACATGTCTATATCTTTTGTTGTATGAAAAAAAAATTTATTGCCTTTAATATCTAACCACTGACTGGCGTTAAAAATGAAGTCAAAATAATTTTTTTTTAAGTAGAACTTAAATACATTTTTTGAAGCTTCTATTCTTCGGACAGATCATTTTTAAAATTTGGGATAATGTTGAATATTTATATCCGTATTTCCCTGATGCTCAAAAATAGGTTTACATTTTTTGATTTCAGTCTGTGCAAAATTCAATACCAATAACTTATTTATTCGTACATCAGCGTTCAAATAGTCAAATGACATTTTTGTGTACGAAAGCACGCTGTGAGAGTTAGTGTATATTTTTATCAGCCTCATCTGATCTGATCCTGATCCTAATCTGATTGATCAAATTCCTGATTAATTATTATTGTGGAATTCCTCAAGAAAGGTAATAAGTAAACAGCAATCAAAGATTAATTAAATAAAAATTTGTTTTTTCAGGTTTATAAGCCCTCGTATTTGCACCATACAAGCCTGTATATATCCTGTATTATATGTCCTGTATTTTCTGTACTGCAATGTAAGGACGAGTCAAGAAACTATTCCCCCACAAAACTCATTAAAAAAATTATCAAAATTCAAAGAAAGGTACGGTGAAATGTCAACTTTATTTAACAAATGTGTTAATTAATTTATAAATTAAAGCAATTATTTTAAATTAGCTTTTAGAGTCATTAAGTATTTTAAGAAAATTGTGAGTCAAGTCTGCAATTATTCGAAACGAAACGAAATCTTATGTCGATGTTTAGAAAATTCAAGTAGATTGAGGTTGTTGTGAGTCAAGTCTGTATATTTTTTAGAAACTAACATAAATCTATTAAATTCTATGTATAAGTTGTATGTTCATATTAAGAAAGTTTAAGTGGATTGATATTGTGACCAATCCTGCCTACTTTTTAAGAAACTAACACAAACTTATTAAATTTATTTAGTAATATATATTACATATTTAGGAAAATATCATAATATTGTAAATTGATTGTAACCGATTTCATTTAATAAAATAATAAATAAATTAATAAAGGAAAACATATACATATTAAGAATTTATATACTGTCTCAGATAGGAAATAGATTAGTATGATGAAAAAGTCCTGTATATCATGAGTATATTTTAACCTACTATAAAAAGTCAAGTTATGGACTGATGAAAATTTATTATCTTATATTATATATTAATATAATATAATTATTGATTCATCCGTACAATGAGCTATCACCTTCTTTGTAAAAGAATTGAATTAAATGTTTTATCTCAATTGCTTGCAAAAACAGCATTTCTGTAGTTGTAGGTGCTATCAACCAATTAAGAAAGTATCGAATATTTGTGATAGAAAACAGAAAATTTGTATGAATTTTCATTTCACTTAAAACTATTTGAGACATTCTTAAAAATGTATGTATGAAACAGATTTATTCATTCTTTTAAAATATTTATCTCACAAGAAAATCAATAAGTAGGGCACCGAGTCTTTATTATTTTAATGATAAAATTTTAAATAATATATTTAAAAAGATAAAATATTATAGAAAAATGCTTCGTTTTGAAAACATTTGAACCTCGACAATATGTAGAGTACCATTAAAAAATTAATTTTGAAATGTTTTGCATTTAAATATCGAAGAATTTGTATAGAAAAATTCTTTCCTAAGGGATTAAAATGGATTCCACAAAACCACTTCCAAATCTAAAAATCAGAATGGATGAAGAAAATATATATGTATGTAATAAAAAAAAAAAAATAATATAAAAATATAAAAAATTATATACAATTATATATATATTTTACATTTAGTGAAATCAATGACACTGCAAAACGAAAACAATATAGAATTTGTCAAAGCACGGGTTCCTCAGGCACGGAGTAGCCCAAAATTTAAATTGGTTGACAATGTTTCTAGGCGTGGATAGCGAAAGACATTATCAGTTAATCCAAAAGCTATATTTAATAATAAACCGATGACATCAAAATAGAACAAAAAGTGGAAACGTGGTGTTTATAAGAACGATATAATTCTTTAAATCGTTAAGTGAAAAACGTTATGAACAAAAAGAATTTTGAATGTTTAACCGGCCCCCACTAGACGTCGAAGTTGATCAATAACAAGATGGAAAGACCATATCTATGAGACGGGGTAGAATTCTTTATTTCGTTAATAGAAGACTTTATCAACAAATCTATCAAGTTTTTACTATTTTCAATAATTTCAGTCTTAATTAATGACAGCACAGTAGACCAGAATAAAAAGAAAAATATAGTGTTTATAAAAACGGGTAGAGTCTTTTATATCGCTAACTGAGAGCTATCAGTAAATCTAAAAAGTATTTTGACTACTATATCGATGAAAACCAGACATTGAGGTTGAACAATATATGCACTGCTGTCTCCTTTTCTTCTAGACATAGTCTGCAAGTTTCTTCCTCAGCAAGAGTTATCTTTTTGAGGTGATATTTGAAGTTGCTATGTTCAATAGTTAGTGGGGTCATCCAGCTTAGGGTGCTCCGCGGATAGCTAAGCATTTTATGGTTTCCCTGACCCACCACATCACATTATTGGTCGTTGATATTATATTTTATTATATTTTTTTATATATTTATTTCTTTGATTTTACAAAATAATTTGTTTTTATGAATGGCATTTTCACAACCTCAGCCGCATACAATTTATTTCGAATCTTCAACTGCACATTTGTGCCTGCAGCTGCGAACTGATTATCAATGTAACCCATGGCAACATTTTTACACAAACTCGGACTTGGACAGCCGCTGGTAACTTGGCCAATTAATTGCTCATTATGGTATATTTGGGCATCAGTGCGTGCTGGTGGCGTATCTGAACCACCTAACATCAACAATCCAGCACGACGCTTGGAAACGCCTGTGGCAATTTGATTTTGTACTGCGTGCGCTCCTGGATAATTTAATTCAGCACGGCGACGTTTGGCTATGAAATGAGGTTAGTGAGAAAAATGCAAGCAAATTTTGTTTTAATTAAATTACTTACCTACTAGCCATGTTAGATCCGCTTCGATAGGTGTAGTTTTATTATTAATATCTTTACCATATAAACAAAGACCTGCTTCGAGACGCAAAGAATCACGTGCGCCTAATCCTGCCAACTTAAGTTGTGCCTCCGTGTTGCTATTTAGAAGAGCTTCAGTTAATTGCTGTACATGTGTTGATGGAACAGATATCTCTACACCGTCTTCACCTGTGTAACCACAACGTGTGATACGACAGTTTGGTATGCCGGCTAATTCACTGTTAAATGTCTCCATAAATTTGACCTCATCCATGTTAATATTTTTTGGCAAGAGTTTTGCAATTGCCGCAACAGCTGTGGGGCCTTGTACAGCTATCAGTGATTGATCTGTAGGAGTTAGAAACTCTATGCTAACATCACGACGGTCCGATTTGTAATTAGACTGTATAGTTAAACGATTATTAAAAAAGTAATATTAATTTAAAGCATATGAGTTCAAGATAATTTTAGATTCGTAAACGAACAGTATTTTTAACCTATAACCTATGTATGAGAATGTCTATAAGAGGTGGGTGAAATTTCTAATATGCATAAAGGGTAACGGGGCAATCCTTTTAGAGATTATATTTAATTGAACTGTCTCTACACAAACATAAATGCTTCGTAATTCGTAATGAGAATGTTCCATCAAAACTTGCGAACCCGCTAATTGATTTAAGGGACTGAGTCACCACGTGAACTAAACAACCAAGATAAAGATTATTGGTGGGGTAAGGGTACATAAAACATGATACTCTTCCAAAGGCACAGTGGAATTGGGCTCAGATGAGAGTGTGTCTTTGAATAATTGAATAAATGTGTGACTATATTAGGAGAAATATTTTAGTTAAAGCTCAAAAAAGACAAGTTTGGCCAGCCCATGGCACTGTACAGATCATGGCCCATAAGAGTCGTTTTGCAATGTGTCTCGATAATTCAGTGAAAATATAACATCAATGTGATAACTCTAATGTGTTTCTACCTCATTAATATTTCGTATTTTGTTGATTCACATTTTGTCACTTTACAATATTGTTTCTTATTTTTATTATTAAAAAGATTGCCTATCATTTTCTTATTTATGAGGATAAGAATCATGTAGTTTTATCTTAATATATCCTTAGACAAAACTATTATTGTAATACTCAAATGTTTGTTACTACAAGCTATGGGTCTACAGACCTATATACGCTTTCTACTTTTTGTGGTACAAAACAAACCTTTTTGTTTATTTTTAGGGCTTCTAAAACAATTTTAATATTAAATTTTTTGCAATATTAAATATACGTCAAATATAATATAAAAATCTCAAAACTTGGATAATTATAATTTTTGAAAAAATTGTTTTTATTAAACCTACATAAAACTATTCAATCTACTACAATATATAGTACTACATTATTTTCTAAAAATCTAAACCTATATTTTATTTTGTAGTTCTATCACGTTAAAAGAATTTATATACTCACAACTGCATTTTCCATTATTTGCATATCCTGTTCCTTCATTGCTGCATTCGATACGATATACAGGCACTCATCACTTAATTTCATTATAATTAGATCATCCAGTATGCCTCCATTTTCATTAGTAAATACAGTTAAAGTACCACGACCATTCTTTTTGATGCCTTTCAAGTCCGCCGTGCAAATCGATTCAATGCACGAAATGCAATCCTTACCTAAAACGAAATGGAAAAGTTATATTCAGTCCACATACCCTTCGACATAGACAAATCAGTTTTAGCTGTTTATTTAAATAAATAGTATTGTTCTATTATATAATCATTTATATATAATCTACTTATATATCATCAATTAATTATATATATCAAATTAGAACTAATTTTGTTTTCTTACCATGTACATAAGTTTGCAGCATATGAGATACATCGAATATTGAGCCAAATTTGCGAGTATGTAAGTGTGATGCCTTGATGCTCTGATCTGCGTACTGAACCGGCAAGGCATAACCACCAAAATTTACAATTTTGCCATTATTTTTTACGTGGAAATCATATAAAGCAGTCCGTTCCGGAGTTTTGGATTCAGCGGAATAAGAACGATGATTTTGACCAGCTGCCAATTGATAATTTTTAATTTGAAATTGTGATTTACTAACGCCAGTTAATTGTTTAGTAACAGAGACAAAATGATTTTGTAATTTATTCATTTTTATTTAAATTCACTATTTAAGCGGTACCAAATGCAGTAATGAGATACTTGAAGTCTGAACGCTTATCAGCTACTAAAATGGAAGCAACTTAAGTTATACAAAATATTTTTTAAAATCGAAAATACTCTAGACTATAATATTATGTGTGTTTATTAATCTTCAAAATATCGTTCTTAATGTGCGTGAGCGATAACCCCCCGCTGTGATGATCATCTCAAACGCGAGATAGAAATTAAAACCGATAAAAATTCAATAGCTTAGACAGAGTATTTTTCACACTGTGAGGGTGTTAATGAGAGTAAATCTGAGTGGATATTTCAAACAAACATATATAATCATTAAATATCAATTTAATAGAGTTGAACGAGTATATAATATTATTCTTCAAAAAATATATCAAGCTGAAAGCGATTCTCTCAATCTTTCAATTCTTATTGATAAGACAACATCAGGTCTTATCGAAACATAAAATGTATTTGTAGTGTGAAGTACCACATATTTCATAATACTATTAAAAAAAAATTATAATAATTATAGATTGGTGGAACAATTTGTCTAGATTCTTATTTCATATAAAATAAATATATATAAAAAACACTGTAAATTTATTTTTGGTTTAATTGTGATAAGTCATGTTATATATATAGTACATTACACATTCACATGCATATCAGAATATATTTCCAACTTTTATTACTATAAAATCAATGTTGAACGTTTAATTCTAATCTTATTCCATATAATTTTTACGGTTGTTGAGTTTGTTGAGACCCTTTA